AACCCGTTGTTGTCGAGTCGATTCTGACTCATAGCAACCCTATAGGACAGAGTAGAACTGCCCCATAGGGTGTCCAAGGAGTGGCTGGTGGATTTGAACTGCCGACCTTTTGCTTAGCAGCCAAGCTCTTAGTCTGGAAGCTCCATTGAAACCTGGGATTCAGCATCACAGCAACATGCAGGTCTCCAGTGACAGACAGGTGGTAGCTGCGCTTGAGGTGCATTGGCTGGGAATTGAATCAGAATCTTCCACTCCGAAAGTGAAGATTCTACCACTGAGCCACCAAGGCATTCTCTCCTACAGATACTACTTCCTTTAATGAATTTGCTTTCAAATTGTGGACATTTTTCTTCCTACCACAGACTTTTTATGTGTGCATATTTGTATTAAATAGCTAAAAAAAAAACATTTTTTAAAGAGACATCAAAGACTTCCAGTTCTTTGATCAGAAAAACACTTGGTTATTTCTAGAATTTCCTCATAAAACCATAGTTTCATCAGAAGTGACAGGAGTGATTAGGTATATTTGCATATTCTTGACTTTTATCCTTCCTGGAGGCATGCCTATATCTTTTACCAGGGTTACAAGGTTAGAGATGATTTGAGGTATGGGTGATTTCATTGTCAATTTTTGTTAACATGATTCTTTTTTCGTTTGTTTTTTTTGGTGCTTGAAACTGGGAAAAAATTCTTATGTAGTATCAAAGTACAGATGTTTCATAATGTCCTAAAACAACTGACTTTGCATGTTAAACATTTGGAAAAGTTATTTTTAAATATTCGATTTTTGATATGGAGGATGTGAGAGATTGACAAAGACTGAGGCAGATGGTGACTTTTCTCTTCCCTCTATATCCTAACTCCTCCACTTGTCTAGCTCTGTTAAGACACTTTGAAGAAGCTCCCTTCTGTGTTACTGCCGGTGTATATTTTCAGTCTCCTAAAGCGTCTAGCTCTTAGACCAGTTTCCATGGCACAAAATTGAAGCACAGAATGCTAATATTGCTACACACCACTGATTTATAGGTAGTTAAAATAATATGGGTGTCTAATCATAATCAAGATAGTCATCACTTTGATGAAAACTTTTTCAAATGAACTGCTCTTGAAGAGATTCAGTATTTTTTATGATTTTATAGCAGTAGTATGCCAATGTTATTGTGTGCCATGCTTTGGACTATTCATCCAAGGGTGACTCCCTAAGACAAAATGCTATTAACCCTGCACCATTTGGAGGCAAAAAGTAGATGAGATGGCCTGTCGGGAGGTCTGTCAAGAGTACATACTGGATGCTTCTGAGAGTGCCAAATGATATTCAGTTTGTGAAATATTACACAATTGATCTTGCATATTAAATTCAGGTTTAATTAGCTTTTTTAAGTACACAGTGATTATGAACTTTCTCCAAATTGTTTGCAAAAGTTAGATATCTGTTTAAGAGAAAAATTGATATTTTAAGATTTTTATGTTTAGACGTAGAGCAGAATGTTGTAAGACATGAATCTTATTTTCATTCCCCCCCTTTTTGGTCCAAGGGTGATGACTAAGAGTTCAAGTTTTGGGTTGATCTTTGACCTTGGCACTTACTAATTGTGTAACCTTTTGCAAGTCAGTGAACTTCTCTAAGCCTCCTTTTTTTTCATGTTAAAATGAGGATAATAATACTTACCCCTCAGCATTGTAATGAGAATCAAATGAGCTATGTGTGTAAAGCACTTCACACAGACCAAAGTAAGTGCTCAATGGTTACTGGTGATGACTGTTGTTATTGTGAATATTTTCATTTTTAAACTGCTTTTGCACTGTATTGGGAAACTCTTGTGTGTTTAAACAGTGCCAATTACATTGGCTAGTGTTTTAGAGCAAATGTATTTCTGCTACTTTATCACTTTTTTTAAGCACTATTACATTTTAACATTTCTAGACTTCCCAGAGAATGCTACATCTCACATCTTTTTGTTTCTGTGGCAAAATGTGTAAAGAGTTCTAATCAACATAGAAATACACTCTTGGGAAACAACCCTCTTGTAAGCCAGAGAGGTTCTCTATAGTTATTTGCTTATTCTTTGATTAGTCAAATCATTAGTCCCTTTACAATTCATCACTAAGAAATCCCTTGAGAGGACAGTCTTAACACCTCCTGTCCAGATTCCACCTCCTCAGTTTCTTCTAAACTCATTGCCATCAGTTGATTCCAACTCATAGTGACCCAATAGGACAGAGCAGACCTGTCCTATAGGATTTCCAAGGCTGTAATCTTTTTTTTTAATCCAAAAGTTTTTTTATTTTCATTTTTTTATATATATGTTCCTCGTGTTTTAGGTGGTTCACAGAGAATATTAGTTTCTCATTAAACAATTAATATACATATTGTTTTGTGACATTTGTTGCCAACCCCACAACATCTCAACACTCTTCCCTTCTTGACTCGGTTACCCATTTCCATTCATCCAGCTTTTCTGTCCTCTCCTGCCTTCTCCTTGCCCCTGGGCTGGCGTGCCCATTTAGTCTCATATACATAGTTGAGCTACGTGTATTCTTGTTTGTTTTATGGGCCTGTCTAATCTTTGGCTGAAGGGTGAACCTCAGGAGTGACTTCAGTACTGAGTTAAAAGGGTGTCCGGGGGCCATACTCTCAGGATTTCTCCAGTCTCTGTCAGGCCAGTAAGTCTGGTCTTTTTATGTGAGTTAGAATTTTGTTCTATATTTTTCTCCAGCTTTGTCCGGGACCCTCTGTTGTGACCCTGTCAGAGCAGTCTGTGGTGGTAGTCGGGCACCATCGAGCTATACTGGGCTCAGTCTGGTGGAGGCCTTGGTAGCTGAGGTCCGTTAGTCCTTTGGACTAATTTTTTCCTTGTATCCTGTTCTCTTCATTCTCCCTTGCTCCCGAAGGGGTGAGACCAGTGGAGTACCTTAGATGGCCGCTCACAAGCTTTAAAGACCCCTGACGCTACTCACCAAAGTAGGATGTAGAACATTTTTTTTTATAAACTCTGTTATACCAATTGAACTAGATGTCCCCAGAGACTGTAGTCCCAAGCCCTCAGGCCAAGACTGTAATCTTTATGGGAGCAGACTGCCACATCTTTCTCCTGTGGAGCCGCTGGCAGGTTCGAACTGCTGACCTTTTGGTTTGCAGCCGAGCACTTTAATCACTGCACCACCAAGTCTCCTTCCTCAGTTTCTTAAGTTTCCTAAAATTCTCTACTTTCAAATTTCAATGACTTCTCTAAGCCACAGATATCTTCCCTAAGCACAGATACTGAAAAACCAATTGTTCTTCAAATCAATTTTTGTCGGTTGATGTCCAACAAACATTTTGAATACCCCTGCTGTGGACTGAATCGTGTCCCCCAAAAATGTGTTTCAACTTGGCTAGGCCATGATTCCCACTATTGTGTGGTTGTCCTCCATTTTATCCTATGTGTTGTAAATCCTAGCCTCTGTGATGTTAATGAGGCAGGATTAGAGGCATTTATGTTAATGAGGCAGGACTCAATCTACAGGATTAGGTTGTATTTTGAGTCAGTCCCTTTTGAGATATAAAAAAGGGAATCCAGCAGAGAAGAGGAGGACCTCATGTCACCAAGAGTGAAGAACCAGGAGGGGAGCCTGTCCTTTGGACCCGGGGTCCCTGTGCTGAGAAGCTTGATGACCAGGGGAAGATTGATGACAAGGACCTTCCCTTAGAGCCGACAGAGAGAAAGCCTTCCCCTGGAGCTGGCACCTTGAATTTGGACTTCTAGCCTCCTAGACTGTGAAAGAATAAATTTCTCTTTGTTGAAGCCATCCACTTGTGATATTTCTACTATAGCAGCACTAATTAACTAAGACAACTCCCATATGAACAGTAGTGAAAACAATTGTGAGGTATTTCCAATAAAATACTTTCATATTGCCCTCTTTAAAGATATTTTTACTTTGTAATTTTCTTTTTATGATTTTTTTAAGGCACATGAGCATAGAGGACTCTATTCAATGGTTTGATAAGACCCTGGTTTGTTTTAATAGCTGTTTATGTTTAGCATCAGGTAAGAATGGGTAACTTCACTTACTAAAAGACAGTATCTTTTGTGAAATATAACATGCTAGTGTATACAAGTGATGTTATATTTCATTCTAAAGCATTTTGTTTAAACCTTGGCATGCTCAGGCGGTGTATCTGAGCTCCCTGATAACAGCTGTTATTATGGCTGCATGTTATTTCATTTGTTGAACTGATGCTTGATAAGAGAAATGTCATTGAATTATCTGCAATTCAAATTTGAATATAATTTTTTTCCCCTTATGGAGGTAAAAATCCAAGCCGTGTATTGCTAAATTAGGGTTGTACAATGCTCATGTATACTGTGTGAGGGCTGTGACCTTTGGAGGCATTACCCTGCCACTCTCCAAAGGAACTGGAGGCCCTGTCCCTGCACTCAGGAACAGGGATCAGAAGATGGATTAATGCCAATAATGAAATGTCAAATCAGCCTCTCTGAAAACTGGATTTTCTTTTTTAGGAAAGCCAATAAATGGTGACTGAAGCCTCGGCTTTTCATTATGGCTTTTACCTTGGGCTCATACTTTATGTTGTATGGATTCCTATCAAAGCACAAGATACAAGTGTGTTCTAAAAACACGTTGATCCAGAAAAATAACTTTGTAATTTCTCCCTGTAGCGAAAATTGGTAGATGCAATCAATAGAGAGGATAGATACGAGGCCCAGTGGAAAGCAGAATGGCATGATAGTTACAAACACAGACACTGGAGCTAAACTTATTGGCTTAGCCACCTACTCCATTAGGTGACCTTGAGTATCTCTTTGTGCTTCAGTTTCCTTGGCCATAAAATGGGAATATCAATACTAGGTTGTTTCCATCTTTTTGTTATTGTGAATAGAGCTGCAATGAATAGAGGTGTGCATATGTCACTTCTATTAAATCCCTAGGGTGTATACCTTGGAGTGGAGCCTGTAAAGTATTTGCTTCTTATGCTTCATTGTATTTTCTCCCAGGTATGGCAGCAGCCAAACTTCTCCACCAGTCTGGCTTGAATGTGGTTGTTCTGGAAGCCCGGGACCGTGTGGGAGGCAGGACCTATACCGTCAGGGTAAGACATTTAGGGTGGGGTAAAGAAAAGTGGGACTGAAGCTGGTTTTGTTTTTGTTTTTTGGTTTGTTTTCCTTGAAAGTCTTGACTTTCATTTGACTCTTTCTGAGAGGGTAAAAATTACTTGAAAACATACTTTACAGCCTCTCTCTCAAATAGCCTCCTTTTAAACTCTTTCTTCTGTCCCTTTTCTAATCTCACCTCATGATACTTGGCACCATAAAGTTGAGGGGGGATATAGGCAGTTGTGTGGGTGTGTGTAGTAGAAAGAAAATTATCAAAAATTATTTGTGCTTTCCATCCTTAACTTCAAACTTCAAGGCCTCTCTAACACCAACACAATCATTCCAACCAACCTCACTAAGTAAAATTTACCTGGCTAATTTTCCTTCTTTCTCTTTCTTTCAGCTTGTTGTCATAGTTTTTAAATGAATTCTTTGCCATTTTATAAGTGCCTTTATTTCAGTTGCTAGTTAATTGTTTCAATTCTGACACAATTGACTAAAATCAATTATTTTCTATTCCATTGAACATAAAACAAAGTAAAGTAGATTTCTCTGCAAGGAAATCCCTCATTTCCAGACATTCAAGATTTGAATAATACAGTTAGATGCTAAAAGTATAGTTTCATTCCTAGAGAGCTAAGAAATATAAAATCTGGATTTACAGCTTACCTTTTGGAAGGATTCTTCAAATGATATATGTCTAGCATTTTATACCCATTCTTTACTTCTAGGCCTTCACAATTGAATTTTCCTCAACAAATACCTGTTGAGTGCCTACTGTTTGTCAAGCATAGTGATCACCAAAGCATGGCCTTGCCCAAGGAGTTCATAGTCTCCTGGAGGATACTGACTCATTTACAATTACAACTGTAATTACAGTTACAGTGGAGGTGGTGCCATAGGAGACCTCCCCCAGTCTTGGGAACCAGAAGACGTTATGCTTGAAAGCCTTATTTGTTATTGATCTTGACATAAACCCTATGCCCTAGTTATTTGTGATTCCATGCAGTTCTTCAAACTTGCCCTAGCTCTCCTGTCTCTGGACCATTGTTTATGCCATTAAAATAAAAATCAAACCTTTTGCTGTCGAGTAGATTCCGACTTATGGCAACCCCATGTGTTACAGATTAGAACTATTTCGTAGGATTTTCTTGGATGTAGTCTTTACAGAAGCAGATTGTCAGGCCTTTCTTCCACAGAGCTGCTGGGTGGGTTTGAACCACCAACCTTTAGTTAGCAGTCAGTTGCAAACCACTTGCGCCACCCTGGGACCTTGTTTATGCCATTACCTGCCCCTAAAATATTTCTTTTTACCATTGTCACACAGCAAAACCATGTCTATCTTCCAAGTTCTAGTTTCACATCTGTCTTAGTTATCTAGTAATGCTCTAACAGAAATACCACAAGTGGATGGTTTTAACAAAGAGAAATTTATTCTCTCACAGTCTAGTGGGCTACAAGTCCAAATTCAGGGCACCAGCTCCAGGGCAAGGCTTTCTCTGTCGGCTCTTGAGGAAGATCTTTGTTGTCAATCTTCCCTTGGTCTGGGAGCATCTCAGCCCAGGAACCTCAGGTCCAAAGGACATGCTCTGCTCCTGGTGCTGCTTTCTTGGTGGTATGATGTCCCCATGTCTCTCTGCTCCCTTCTTTCTTTTATATCGCAAAAGAGATTGACCCAAGACACAACTTAATCTCATAGATCTCATCACTATAACTGCCACTAATCCATCTTATTGCATCACAGTGATAGGATTTACAACACATAGGGAAATCACATCGGGTGACAAAATGGTAGACAATCATACAATACTGGGAATCATGACCTAGCCAAGTTGACAGATATTTTTTGGGGACACAATTCAATCCATGACAGCATCCCTCCAGGATATCATCCCTTCCTACTCCAGTCAGAAGCTACTTGTAAGTTCCACACACATGATAATTATTGCATGTTGCCACATAGGTTCTTACCTGTGTGCATCTTATCTCCTCTAGGTCTTGAATCTTCATATACTCCACAACATCTGGTACATAAGATAGTCTTGTACATGAAAGAGGCTCATTTAATATGAGTAACTGCTGAGTTAAAAAAAAAAAAACACTCTTCTTTCATTTTTTCAGCAAAATTTATTGGGCAACTACTATAGGTATTTGGAATAAATCAATGTATTAGTTTCCTTGGGCTGCCGTAACAAAATACCACAAACTGGGAGGCTTATAAGAACAGAAATTTATCATCTCACAGTTCTGTAGGCTGGGAGTCCAAATCAACGTGTTGACCAGCCATAGTTCCTCTGAAACCTCTAGGGGAAGATCCTTTCTTGTCTCTTCCGCCTTCTGGTAGCCTCAGACATTCCTTGGCTTGTAAATGCATCTTCACATGGCTGTTTTTCCTCTGTCTCTCTGTGTCTTTTCTCCTCTTATGTAAGGACATCACTCAGATCCCAAACAAAGTCGCATTCACAGGTACCAAGGGTTAGTACTTCAACATATCTTCTTGGGAGACAAAATTCAATCTATAATAATCAATGAACAAAGATCCCTGCTTGTGAAACGTATGTTACTATTGTTTATTATTACTATTATTACTATTATTGACTTAAAACAATAGAAATTTACTCTCTCACAATTCTGGAGACTAGAAGTCCGAATTCAATGTGTTAGCAGGGTCATGCTCTCTCCAAAGGTTCTAGGGGAAAATCCTTCCTTATCTCTTCCAGCTTCTGGTAGCCCAGCTCTTCCCTGGCTTTTGCCAACATCACTCCAATCTCTTCCATCATAATCACATGACCATCTTCCTTCTGGGTCTATCACTATGTCTCTTCTCCTTGTCTTATAAGGACACTAGTCATATTGGATTAGGGTCCATCCTATCAAGTATAACCTCATCTTAACTGCATCTGCAAAAACCCTATTTCCAAACAAGATCACATTCATAGGACTTCATCATATATTTTTGGGGGGACACAATTCAACTCATATGTATGTTATTTTTGTGGGGATGGGTAGGGAGCTAGATGCTAAACAAACAAAAGCAGAAAAGGAGGACCTTCTCTGGTGTCCCTGACTAATAGGCACTCAGTTCTGCTTAGACACACTCAGAGATAGAGAGCTTTCCTACTCACTTCTTGGTCAAAGTTTGCTCCATAGTCATTGGAGGTGAAGCTGATTCAAAACCATATAGAAAAAAATGATACTAAACATAAGAGCAATTTCAAAGATCCAAATTATTACCAAATATTTTCTAACGCTATCTTTCAAATGTCTGGATTAGCAAACCACATAAGAAGTGATAATTTCCTTTTTTGCCTTTCCTCTAGCATTGTTGCTGTTGTTGTGTGCCTTCGAGTCAATTCCAACTCAGACCAACCCTATAGGACAGAGTAGAACTGCCCCAGAGGGTTTCCAAAGCTGTAATCTTTACATAAGTAGACTGCCACTTCTTTCTCCCCTGGAGCACCTGGTGGGTTAGGACTGCCGACATTTTGGTTAGTAGGAGAGCACTTCACCACTGCACCACCAAGGCTCCCTCCTCTAGCATTCCCAAAACCAAACCCATTGTTGTCGAGTCGATTTCAACCCATAGTGACCTTGTAGGACATAGTAGAACTGCCCATAGATTTTCCAAGGCTGTAATCTTTATAGAAGCAGACTGACACATCTTTTTCCTGAGGAGAGAGGATGGTGGGTTCAAACTGCTGACCTTTCAGTTAGCAGCCAAGCGTTTTAACCACTGTGCCACCAAGGCTTCTTCTTCTAGCATTAGGTGCTTAAAATTAGCCTGAGGTACTGAATAAAGAGAAATTCATCAACAGCTCATAGCTTACAAATTCAGGGTACTAAAAACTAAGCCATGTTGTGGTATATTGTGAATAATGGGGTTCAGAAGTCTCTTGCCTGTTTTAAATTAATGATTAATTTAATAACTGTTAAGTCATGTGAACGAAGTGGAGTTGAGAAGAGAATCCAGTTTTCCATGGATACACCTCAAGGCTTATCTATAGCCTGTGATGTGCCAATGTATACATTTGCTTATTTCACAAATATTCGTCTTAATTTTTTTCCATTGAAAACAGAACCAAAAGGTTAAATATGTGGACCTTGGAGGATCCTATGTTGGGCCAACCCAGAATCGTATTTTAAGATTAGCCAAGGAGCTAGGATTGGAGACCTACAAAGTAAAAGAAGTAGAGCGTCTGATACACCATGTAAAGGTAAGCCTGGGCCAGCCTTTGAAGGATTTGAAGACTTGTCTATGGATATTCCCATATATGATTTCTAGATCATTCTCTCAGAGAATCTTCTGCATCTCTGAATAATGTGTATGTATTTTATAAATATATTTCAGCCATTCTGAGAATTTATTCATTCTTATCAAAGGGGAATTAGGTGGGGATTCTAAATCTGTTTGGGAAGGTTATTGATGAGGTGGTATCATCCGTTTGGTACAAACGCCAACAAAACTAATAGAAAAAAAATGTTTGTGATTGATTTATTAAATGCCTCTATTTAAATACCTGGGACTGTTTCATGTTATACAAAAACTAGTGTACAGTTTTACAAATGTTGCCATAGAATTCACATTTTAAAGAGTATTTACAGTATGTCTAATGGAATATTTTGGAAGTTTGTCATTGTGTCGCATATATCAGCTAAGGTTACTCTTCTTTTGAGATTTGGGTAAAAGTGACTCAGGTTCCAAGTCGTGTCTTTTATGGGAAAGCTCCATTGATTTCCCCAAAATTTATGTGAGTTTACTGGGTCTCTCATTCTCATGATCATTGTGGCTCATGGTTCCTACTTCCACTGACACCTTATACTCATTCATATCTCATGTCCTGGAACTGTTTTTCTCCCTTTGATCTATGCAAGCCCAAGTTCAAACTAGGCTCTTTGTCTCGATTTTCTTTAGACCACCCAATGCATTTGTGTGCAGCAAATTTGACTGAAGTTTTGAGCAATGGAGGGGTTTTAAATTGCAGAAACCCAAACAACTTAGAACTGAATATCGGACATTCTAATTCTAATAACCCCCTGGACCATTGCACTTCTGTGGATTTCTGACTGGCCACATTTCTCTATGAATTACAGCCTTTCATTATGTTGCTGCTGATCTTTAGACCTCCCCTCACATCTCTTTGATACTCTGTTTTCCCAACACATTTGTCTGGTCTAAAAAATCACTGATGTTCTCTGACGAGCACAGGGTCACCTAATCTGAGTTCCACCCTGGAGTCCCACAGAAGAACTATCAGAGGTTTTGAATTTCAGTCTTTTTTTTTTTTCTCTTCATCACTTGTCTCAGTAGGTGGAAGTGAGCAGCATAGAGACATATTTTCCCACAGACAGGAATCATCCCCTTAGAAGAAAGAAGGGACTAGCAACACTCAGGTTTTTCTTCTTTTTTTTATTATTGTAAAAATACAGGCCTACCTCATTTTATTGTGCTTTGCTTTATTGCATATTGCAGATGTTGTGTTTTTTATAAACTGAAGGTTTGTGGCAACCCTGAGTAGAGCAAGTCTATCTGCACTATTTTTCCAACAGCATGTGTTCACTTCGTGTCTCTGTGTCATATTTTGATGATTCTCACAATATTTCAAACTTTTTCATTATTAGTGTATTTGTTATGGTGATCTATGATCAGTGATCTTTGATATTACTATTGTAATTGTTTTGGGGTGACATGAACCACGTCCATATAAGACGGCCAACTTAATCAATAAATGTGTTCTGACTGCTCCACCGACTGGCTGTTTCCCCATCTCTGTCCCGGGTCTTGGGCTTCCCTATTCCCCGAGACACAACAATATTGAAATTAGGTCAATTAATAACCCTACAACGGCCTCTAAGAGTTCAGGTGAATGGAAGAGTTGCACATCTCTCACTTTAAATCAAAAGCTAGAAATGATTAAGCTTAGTGAGGAAGGCATGTTGAAAACTGAGATATGCCAAAAGCTAGGCCTCTTGAGTCAAACAGTTAGCCAAGATGTGAATGCAAAGGAAAAGTTCTTGAAGGAAATTAAAGGTGCTACTCCAGTGAACACACGAGTGATAAGAAAGCAAAACAGGCTTATTGCTGATATGGAGAAAGTTTTAGTGGTCTGGATAGAAGACCAAACCAGTCACAACTTTCCCTTAAGCTAAAGCCTAATCCAGAGCAAGACCCTAACTATCTTTAATTCTGTGAAGGCTGATCGAGATAAGGAAGCTGCAGGAGAAAAGTTTGAAGCTAGTAGAGGTTGGTTCATGAAGTTTAAGGAAGGAAGCTGTGTCTATAATATAAAAGTGCAAGGTGAAGCAGCAAGTGCTGATGAAGAAGCTGCAGCAAGTTATCCAGAAGATCTAGCTAAGATAGTTGATGAAGGTGGCTACACTAAACAACAGATTTTCAATGTAGACGAAACACCCTTCTATTGGAAAAAGATGCCATCTACGACTTTCATAGCTAGAGAGAAGTCAATGCCTGGCTTCAAAGCTTCAAACGATTCTCTTGTTAGGGGCTAATGCAGCTGGTGACTTTAAGTTGAAGCCAGTGGTCATTGACCATTCCAAAAATCCTAGGGCCCTTAAGAATTATGCTAAATCTACTCTGCCTGTGCTGTATAAATGGAACAACAAAGCCTGGATGACAGCACATCTGTTTACAACATGGTTTACTGAATATTTTAAGCCCCTGTTGAGAACTACTACTCAGAAAAAAAGATTCCGTTCAAAATATTACTGCTCATTGACAATGCATCTGGCCACCCAAGAGCTCTGATAGAGATGTGCAAGGAGATTAATGTTGTTTTCATGCCTGCTAACACAACATCCATTCTGCAACCCGTGGATCAAGGAGTAATTTCAACTTTCAAGTCTTATTACTTAAGAAATAATTTCATAAGGCTATAGCTGCCATAGACAATAATTCCTCTGATGGATCGAAAATCGAAAATCTTCTGGAAAGGATTCAACATTCTAGATGTCTTTAAGAACATTTGTGATTCATGGGAAGCGGTCAAAATATCAACATTAACAGGAGTTTGGAAGAAGTTGATTCCAACCCTCATGGATGACTTTGAGGGGTTCAGACTTCAGTGGAAGTAACTGCAGATATGGTGGAAAAAGCTAGATAACTAGAATCAGAAGTGGAGCCTGAAGATGTGACTGAATTGCGGCAATCTCATGATAACACTAACAGATCAGGAGTTGCTTCTTATGGATGAGCAAAGAAAGTGGTTTCTTGAGATGGGATCTACTCCTGGGGAAGATGCTATGAAGATTTTTTTTCTTTTCTTAATTGTACTTTAGATGAAGGTTTACAGAACAAATAGTTTCTCATTAAACAGTCAGTACACATATTGTTTTATGACATTGGTTAATAACCCCA